GCAGAGGCGCAATTTCTGCTGCTGCAGCATTTGCAGCAAGCAGTGCAGCATCAGCAGCAAATTTCAACGTGAAGCAGCAGCAGCAGACCCCAACTGCCAGCAGCAGCAGCAGCAACAGCAGCAGCAGCAGCAGCAGCAGCAGCAGCAGTTCTCCTCTTTCTGCCGCTCCGCCTGTAGCGGAGACAAATCCTTTCGCTCCTTCACCCAGAAACAGCAGCAGCAGCAACAGCAGCAGCAGCAGCAGCAGCAGCAGCAGCAGCAGCAGCACGAATCCCTTCGAGCCTGCGGAGCCGTTAGGTGTTTGTTCTCTTTCAGCGCGAATGGCGCAGCAGAGACTTTCTTAATAAAAGTCTAATTAATTATTTTAATTCTTTTTGTCTTTTGCTGCTGCTGCTGCTGCTGCTGCTGCTGCTGCTGCTGCTGCACTCGTTCAGGTGTCTCGTTTTGCTGCTGATAGTTTATGCTGCTGCCTTTGTGCATCTTTGTGGCTTTTTAGAAGAGAAAAACCGCCTGAGGGTTTAGGGTTTAGGGTTTGGGGTTTTGGTTTGACAAGAGAAAAGAAAGAGAGAGAAGCAGTTTAAAGTGGCTACCGCAAGAACCACTTGCTGCTGCTGCTGCTACTGCTGCTGCTGCTGCTGCTGGTAAGATGCTGCTGGTGCCCGGGCCACTTCAGGATATGCTGCTGCTGCTGCTGCCAACTTAGCAGCAGCAGCAGCAGCTGCAGCAGCAGCAGCTGCAGCAGCAGCAGCAGCTGCAGCAGCAGCAGCTGCTGCAGCAGCACGGCTTGCGCTTTTGCTTTGCCTCTTGCTGCACTGCCTCCTGGGCGCGGCGTAGGTACAGCAGCAGCAGCAGCAGCAGCAGCAGCAGCAGCAAGCCTAGCGGCCGTGTGTCTTTTTCATTTTTTATTTCTTTTCATTTCTTTGTATTTATTTATTTATTTATTTTTATTTTATTTCTTTTTATTTATTTCTTTTATTTCCTTTTACTCCCTCATGTCTTAACTCGCTTTCAGCTGCAGCAGGTCACGCGCGGGCCCAAGTCAGGCAGCAGCAGGCTCTGCAGCAGCAGCAGCAGCAGCAGCAGTTGCTGCTGCTGCTGCTGCTGCTGCAGGTAAGGCCTCCACCAGCTGCTGCAGCTGCTGCAGTCTGCTGTTTCTTCCGAGTCCCGACCTGTACATACACCTCAATTTATCGGCAGCAAATTGACCATTTTATTTGATTCATTTATCTCTTTTTTCTCTAAATTACCTGCTGCTGCTGCTGCTGCTGCTGCTGCTGCTGCTGCTGCTGCTGCTGCTGCTGCTGCTTACCACTGCTGCTGCTGCACGAGCACCACTTGGGCTTGTTTGGGTTTTGTTTGTTTTTGCAAAAAGGCCAAAGCGGTGGCAGCAGCAGCAGGAAGATGCATTAAAACTGAAAGACACACAAGACACGCTGCTGCTGCTGCTGTTGCTGTTGCTGCTGTCGTTGTTGCTGCTACAGCAGCAGCAGCAGCAGCAGCAGCAGCAGCAGTCCTTAAAACCGATTCAAACTGCCACTCAGAAAACTTACTGTCTTGCTGCTGAGGCTGCAGCAGCAGCAGCGCCGGGGGACGCGGCGCAACGTCCTGCAGGTAGCGCTGCAGCAGACGATTGCTGCTGCTGCTGCTGCTGCTGCTGTTGCTGCTGCTGCTGCTGCTGCTGCTGTTGTGCTGCTGCTGCTGACAGTCACCGGGAGGGAGCTGGAGGTCCGCAATGTGCTTTACAGCTGAAAGGCAGTGTTTCTCCTCCAGCAGCACAAACAAAACATTTGTTTCTGCTGCTGCTGCTGCTGCTGCTGCTGCTTCTGCTGCTGCTGCTTTTCGTCCTGCTGCTGCTGCTGCTGCTGCTGCTACAGCTCCTGCTTTGTCAGCTGGCTGCGGAAGGTAAGTCGAAGTGGAGAAGCGGTTCTTTGCTTCCGATTTGCTGCTGCTGCTGCTGCTGCTGCTGCTGTCACTGCTGCTGTTGCTGCCGGTGCTGCTGCTGCTGCCGCTGCTGCCAGTTGTGCTGCTGCAGCTGCCTATACACCCGAAATCCAAAGGAACAGAAACGCACAAACCTTCCATTCCTGTCGAATCCTTAACAAAGGAAGCAGAGCTGAGAAGTGCATCCGCAGCAGCAGCAGCAGCAGCAGCAGCAGCTACTGCTGCTGCTGCTGCTGCTGTTTCGGGTGCCGTTGGTGCTTCTGCTGCTGCTGCTGCTGCTGCTGGCTGTAAATGAGTCTTGGCGGCTGTGGACCGCTGCGAGAAGAGCAGATCCTTCAGCAGCAGCAGAAGCGCTTGGAGCTCTTCCCTGCTGCTGCTGCTGCCGCTGCTGCTGCTGCTGCTGCTGCAGCTGCCGCACGGCGCCCGCGGCCTCTCACAAACTGCCCAGCAAGCGCCCCAGCTGTCTTCTGTGCTGCAGTGGAGGCAGCTGCTGTTGCTGCTGTTGCTGCTGCTGCTGCTGCTGCTGCTGCTGTTTGTCACAGTGGAAATCGGCGTGTTTTCCTCCCACTTAGCAGCAGCAGCAGCAGCAGCTTTGTGTGTCGGATTATTTGCTGCTGCAGCAGAGCCCCAGAAACCCTCGTCAGCAGCAAGCAGCAGCACCTGCTGCAGCAAACGCGAGTCCCCTCTGTGCCTCCACTGCGTCCCCTTTAAGCCAGCTAGCACTAGGCCTGCAGCAGCAGCAGCAGCAGCAGCAGCAGCAGCAGCAGTAGCAGCAGCAGTTGCGGGCTCCGCACTGCCGCAAGCTGCAGCAGCAGAACACGCGAGCAGCAAAGCTACAAAGGCAGCAGCAGCAGCAGCAGCAGCAGCGTACCCACGAAGGCTTCAGGAAAAGCAGCTGCTTCTCCCATGGTCGCTCTGCTGCTGTTGCTGTTGCTGCTGCTGCTGCTGCCGCTGCTGCTGCTGCCAGCAGCCACGGACTTTGCAAGCCACGCGCACGCTACTGCAGCCGCGATCCGCAGCAGCGTGTCTTGAGGTGTAGCAGCAGCAGCAGCTGCTGCTGCTGCTGCTGCTGCTGCTGACTCCTGTGGCGCTGCTGCTGCTGCTGCTGCTGACTCCTGTGGCGCTGCTGCTGTTGCTCCTTTTGCCGGAAAGCTCTCCAGAGCAGCACTCGGGAGGCCCAGCGCTGCTGCTGCTGCTGCTGCTGCTGCTGCTGCAGAGTCCACAGCCACGCCCTGCGCGCCACTCTCTGCTGCTGCTGCTGCTGCTGCTGCTGCTGCTGTTTGAAGGGCCTCGCTGAGAAGCTGCTGCGTTGCTGGAAGCTGCAAGAGCTGCTGCAGTTGGTGGGGAGCCGCATGCAGCAGCAGCGCAGCAGCAAAGCGTATGGTTTGAGTCTGTATCTGCTGCAGCTGCTGCTGCAGCAACAGCTGCTTCTGCTGCTGCTGCAGCTGCTGCAGCTGCTGCTGCAGCTGCTGCCAGCGCTGGATGAGGTGTACGTACACCTGGATGGCGTCCGGCCGGCAGCAGCAAATGCCCTCCGCCAGAGACAAGAAGCAAAAAGGAGACAGCAGCAAATGAGAAGACCCTTGCTGCAGCAGCAAATGAGGAGACCCTTGCTGCAGCAGCAAATGAGGAGACCCTTGCTGCAGCAGCAAATGAGGAGACACTTGCTGCAGCAGCAAACTGCGCAGGCACTCCAAAGCCAACTCCCCCAGCAGGTGGCCTTGCAGCAGCAGCGCCCGCAGCAGCACCTGAGACGCCAACAAGCAGCAGCAGCAGCAGCAGCAGCAGCAGCAGCAGCAGCAGCAGCAGCAGCGGCAGTGGCGGTTGCAGGGTTTCAGCAGCTGGTTCCTGCTGCTCTGTTGTTTCTGCTTCAGGAGATTCGCCTAGGCTGCAGCCCCCAGTTTAGGGTTTAGGGTTTAGGGTTTAGGGTTTAGGGTTTCCATCATGGCTTATGGCTGAATTAGGGTTCTGAGAGATCGCAGAACTCAATTCCCCAGGGCTTAGGGTTTAGGGTTTAGGGTTTGGGGTATAGGGTTTGGGTTTTAGGGTTTGGGACTAAGGGTTTGCGATTTAGGGTTTAGGGTTTAGGGTTTAGGGTTTAGGGTTTGGGCTTGCCTGCGTTTGCTGCGGGGAGAAAAGGATTTGTTTTTGCTGCCAAAAAGAAAAGAAGCAAAAAGAGACAAAAGGAGACACAGCAGCAAACCGAGAAAGAGCCAGCAGCAGCGACACAGCAGCAGCAGCAGCAGCAGACTGCAGCAGCCGCGGGAGATGGACTGCGACTCCGCAGAGTAAAGCCGCGGCCACATCTTTGCTGCTGCTGCTGCTGCTGCTGCTCTCGCTGCTGCTGCTGCTGCTGCTCTCGCTGCTGCTGCTGCTGCTGCTGGTTCCGTTGCTGCTGCTGCTGATAAGACCTTTGCTGTTTCTGCTGCTGCTTCTGCTGCTGCTGCAGCACTGCAGCGCCTGCAGCAATGCAGTGAGCGTCTGAGCAGCAGCAGCAGCAGCAGCAGCAGCAGCAGCAGCAGCAGCAAACCAAAAGGAAAGAGTGACAGCAGCAAATCAAAAAGACAAAGAAATAAAAGTAAATTTAAAAAACAAAAAAGCAAAAAGAGAAAAATAAAAAAAGCCAAGGAAAGGCTAAGACCTGCAGCTGCAGCAAATCAAAAATAATTAAAATTATAAATAAAAAATAATTATAATTGCAAATATAATTATAATTAATAATTATAATTAATAATTATAATTAATAATTATAATTAAATTAAAATTAAATTAAAATTAAATTAAAATTAAAATTAAAAAGAAGATGCTCACTGTGATGCTGAACTGCTGCAGCCGAGCAGCAGCAGCAGCTCCGACGCGCAGCAGCAAATCCCGCACTTGCAGCAGCTCCAGCTGCTGCGGCTGCTGCTGCAGCTGATGCCGTTGCTGCTGCTGCTGTTGCTGCTGCTGCAGCAGCTGCTGCTGCTGTTGCTGCTGCTGCTGCTGTTGCGTTCGTCGCTGCTGAGCAGCAGCAGCAGCAGCAGCAGCAGCAGCAGCAGCAGCAGCACCCTCTGGCTCCGTGGAGGCTGAGCGTGCCATACTGCAGCACGTACTGCTGCTGCTGCTCCTGCTGCTGCTGCTGCTGCTGCTGCTGCTTCTGCTGCTGCTGCTGCTGCTGATTTGCATGTGAATCTTGCTGAGGGCCTCTGCTGTCACAGCCAACTCCCAGGCAGTCATTTTGGAGAAGCAAAGAGGCAGCAGCTCCAGCAGCAAACGGTTCCTAAGCTGGAGAAACTGCTGCTGCTGCTGCTGCTGCTGCTGCTGTTGCTGCTGCTGCTGCTGCTGCTGCTGCTGCTGCTCAGTGCAGCTGAAGGCGGACACTAGGAAGGCAGCGCTGCGGCCAGGAAGAGGCCCCAGGAGAGTCCCGTAGTTCGGCAGGCTCGCAGCAGCAGCAGCAGCACTGCTGCTGCTGCTGCTGCTGCTGCTGCTGCTGCTGCTGCTGCTGCTGCTGCTGAGGACCTCAGGCAGCAAATCAAGAAACTCGGAGACTCTTGCAGCTAAAGGGGTCAACATGGAAAAGGTGGGGGGCCCCTGGGGGCCCCCCAGGAGGGGCCCCGCAGCAGCACAAACTGCTAGGGAGGCCAGCTGGGGCAGCTGCAGCTGCTGCAGCACCTGCTGCAGCAGCAGCAGCTGCAGCAGCAAACTGCGCGTTTGCTGGTGAGATATCCGAGCAGCAGTGAAGGCCTCCAGCAGCGGCAGCGCCCACTTGCAAGCTGCTGCTGCTGCTGCTGCTGCTGCTGCTGCTGCTGCAGGTGCAGGTGCTGCAGGTGCGACCTCCGCTGCTGCTGCTGCTGCTGCTGCTGCTGCTGCTGCTGCTGAGCCACCTGTCCCGCTGATCTGCTGCAGTGCTGCTTCAGCAGCAGCAGCAATATTCGGAACGTTGCAAACTAACAAGTCCCCGCAGGGTATGCGCAGCTGCAGCAAACAGCAGCAGCAGCAGCAGCAGCAGCAGCAGCAGCAAAAGGCAGCAGATGCAACAGCAGCAGCAGCAGCACAGAATGGAAATATCGAACTTTGTTTTAAGGAACAGATACAGATGAACCCGAGAACCAGCAGCAGCAGCAGCAGCAGCAGCAAAAGGAAACGCACGCAAAAGCTCAAGCTGCAGCAATAGCAGCAGCAGCAGCAGCAGCAGCAGCAAAGCAGCATAGGCAGGAGCAGCAACATTCTGTGGTGTACGTACAGTACGGAAGGCCTCAGCTGCCACCGCAAGTGTCTGCACAGTGAGGCTGCTGCTGCTGCTGCTGCTGCTGCTGCTGCTGCTGCTGCTGCTGCTTCTCGACTGCAGCACGAGGGCCCCCTGAAGGGCCCCCAGCTGCTTGAAGGCCTTGCCTGCGGGCCTTCCTGCTGCTGCTGCTGCTGCTGCTGCTGCTGCAAGCACTTCAGCAGGAAACTCTGCCAACACCTCCGCAGGCGCGTGCTCGCGCAGCAGCAAAAACACCCGACGCCGCGCTGCTGCTGCTGCTGCTGCTGCTGTTGCTGCTGCTGCTGCTGCTGTTGCTGCTGCTGCTGCTGCTTCCCCGTCAGCAGCAACGGCAGCACTGTCTGCGCTGCGCTGCAGAGCGGCTTGCTGCTGCTGCTGCTGCTGGAAGTCCTCTTGCGGGACAAAAAGGCTTTGGGTGAAGCTGCTGCTGTCGGTGCTGCTGCTGCTGCTGCTGCTGCTGCTGCTATCTCCTGCCTCTATTAGAAATTCCTCTTCCGGCTCTGTCTCCCAGGAAAACTCGAAAGATGCCCCAGTGTCCAGTTGCTGCTGCTCCGCCAGCTGCTGCTGCTGCTGCTGCTGCTGCTGCTGCTGCTGCTGCTGCTGCTGCTGCAGTTCAGCGGCAGCCGAAGCATAGAGTCTGCCTCGGGCACCCCGCAGGCAGCAGCTTCTTAGACAAGAGCGAGGGGCCCCCAAAAAGAGGCTTTTTTCGCAGTTGTGTGCAGCAGATGGTGCAGCAGCAGCAGCAGCAGCAGCTGCTGCTGCTGCTGCTGCTGCTGCAGTAACAGGCCGCTGCTGCCTACCTTCTGGGGCCCCCAAGGCGCAGCAAGCAGCAGCAGGGCCTCGCAGGGGCCCCCAGATGCCATGGGGGCCCCTCAGCAGCAGCTTGGAGGTAAGGGGTGTGGCGGCTAAGAAGGAATGGGGCATAGCTGCTGCTGCTGCTGCTGCTGCTGCTGCTGCTGTGGGGCCCCTCCATCTGTAAAGCTGCCGCTGGAGTCAATTAAATGGCATTTTATTTATATTTCAAAGACTGGAAGACAAAATAAGAAGACCCTTTGCGCTGCGGCAGCTACCACGGGGGCCCCCAGGCCAGCAGCAGCAGCTCTGCATCCCCAAGAGCCAGAATGTCTCGAATGAGAACAAAATATATCATTTTAATCATATTTCAATTCCATTTCCCATTTGTACCCTCCAATGCTGTTCTGTTGCGCTTCAGGGGCCCCCAGGGGGCCCCCGGGGGCCCCCCGGGGGCCCCCAGGGGGCCCCATCAGTGGGCAGCCGCGCAGCCGCCAGCTGCTGCTGCTGTTTGGAGCATTTTGCTGCTCTGCTGCTGATTTAATTCATTAAAAATATGAAATTTTGCATATTTGTTTTTGTTTTGTCTTTTATGTCATTTATAAACTGGAAAAAAGCGGAAGAAAGCAGCGCGCCTTCAGCAACACGCTCTGAGACCCCCCGGGGCTGCTGCTGCTGCTGCTGCTGCTGCTGCAGCTTCGGGCGCTGCAGCTGCTCAACCCCCAGCAGCAGCAGCACGGGCAGGAAGACGAGAGGAGCTGCAGACAGTCGAGACTGGTCGAGACAGCAGCAGCAGCAGCAACAGCAAACAAAGCTGCAGCAGCAGCAGCAGCAGCAGCTGCTGCTGCTGCTGCTGCACTTGATAATGGGCGGAGATGCAAACCCTTGCTTCTCGGAAGCGGCGGCTGCCATCTATTGCGATTCGTAGCAGCCGCCTACTGCAGCAGCAACGCGAGCAGCAGCAGCAGCAGCAGCAGCAACAACAACAACAGCAACAAGTGCAGCATCATCAGCTGCTGCAGCAGCAAAAATGCAGCTACGTAGCAAAAGCTTGTGCTGTTGCGCTGCACGCAACTCAGGGGCAGAAGCCTCCCGATAGCAGCAGCAACATCGGTGGCGGCAGCAGCAGCAGCAGCAGCAGCAGCAGCAGCAACAGCAACAGCTGCAGGATGGGCAGCAGCAGCAACAGCAAGGGCACAAGCAGCAGTATGCCTACTCGGCTCGTTTACTCCTGCCATTCGAGTCCAACAAGCACCAGTTTAAGTAGCAGCAGCAGCAGCAACAGCAGCAGCAGCAGCAGCAGCAGCAGAAACAACAGAGGCAGCAGCACTTCTGCACTGCGCCGCCTAGATGCAGCAGCAGCGGCAGCCCCAACAGCAACAGCAGCAGCAGCAGCTCGTCTGACACGCAGCAGCAGCAGCCTCGCAGTGCCGCCGCGCCTTCTTCGCAGCAGCAGCAGCACCAGCAGCAAAACGAGCAGCAGCAGCAGCACCACCAACAGCTTACAGCCCCTTCTGCCCAGAAAGCAGCAGCAGCAGCAGCAGCAGCAACAGCAGCAGCAGCAGAAGCAGCACTCACAGTGGTTTTCGCAGCGAAGAGAGACACAACTGCATCGCGAGGCAGCAGCAGGGCCTTCTCAATGCCGCGCTCGTAGCAGCAGCAGCAGCAGCAGCAGCAGCAGCAGCAGCAGCAACGGAGGCAGCAGCAGCGGCAGCAGCAGCAGCAACAACAATAAGAATGGCACACCGGAGGAGCAGCAGCAGCGGGTCGGGGTTGAAGACGCAGCAGCAGCAGCAGCAGCAGGTGCTGATGCTGCTGCGGAGCCTGCTGCAGGTGCTGCTGCTTATACCCTCCCCGAGGCCATCTTTGACAGCCCTGCTGCTGCTGCTGCTGTTGCTGCTGCTGCTGCTGCTGCTGCTGCTGCTGTGTCACCGTGTGTAGCAGCTGGTGGCGTGGCATCTGTGGCAGCAGCTGACTCTCAGACAGAACCAGCCGCAGCAGCAGCAGCAGCAACAGCAACAGGAATAACAGCAGCAGCAGCAGCAGCAGCAGCAGTGCCTGAGCAGCAGAAAGATCTGTCGCAGCAGCACCGCAATTCTGCTGGAAATGAAGAAAGCAGCAGCAGCAGCAGCAGCAGCAGCGGCAACCGCAGCAGCGACAGTACCACCAGCAGTGACAACAGCAGCAGCAACAACAGCAGCAGCAACAGCACTAGCAGCAGCACCAACAGCACCAGCAGCAGCAGCAGCAGCAGCAGCAGCAGCTGGCTTGAACATCTGTGGGGTCGCCAGTGCCGAGGGTCGAGGCGCACAGTGTCGCTGCTAGCTGCTGCAGCAGCACAGCAGCAGCAGGAGCAGCAGCAGCAGGTGGAGCAGCAGCAGCAGCAGCAGCAGCAGCAGCAGCAGCAGCGTCTGCCGCGACTCAGCGAAGACACAATTGTGGCTGTTCCCTCAAAGAAGCGGAGGAGGTAAGTGGGCGCTGCTTTTGCTGCAGCAGCAGCAGCAACAGCTGCTGCTGCTCTTGCTGCTGCTTCCGCTGCTGCTGCTGCTGCCGAAGTAGAAGACACAGGTAATATTTGGGAAGCACATGCAGCCAAAGCAGCCCAAAGTGCACTCTAGAGAAGAAGACGGATATTGCTGCTGCTGCTGCTGCTGCTGCTGCTGCTGCTGCGTTTGCTGCTGTTGCTGCTGCAGCTCCGAGTTGTCCGACATATACGAGACTTTTGCTGCCCAAGCAGCAGCAGCACACGCAGCAGCAGCAGCAGCAGCAGCAGAAGCGGGAGAAGACACTGCAGGTCTCGCGTCTCTGCGTTGGCTAGAGCAGCAGCGGCAGCATCAGAATGGCAGCAGCAGCAGCAGCAGCAGCAGCAGCAGCAGCAGCAAGAGGGCCCGGTCTGCTGCTGCGCAGCTCTGTGTCCGCTTCCGCTGCGCTGTTGCTGCTGCTCGCAGCAGCGCAGCACTGGAGGTGCAGTTTCTGCAGCTGCTGCTGCAGCGGCAGCGAGACGCAGCAGCAGCAACCGCAGCAGCTTGTCGCAGCAGCAGCAGCAGCAGCAGCAGCATCAGCAGCAGCAGCAGCAGCGCTCTTTCGCAGAAGCACCATCCTCTGATTGACGGCATCCCGAAAGGCATTGCCTCATTGTTCCTCCCGTCCCCAGTTGCTGCAGTTGCTGCTGCTGCTGCTGCTGCTGCTGCTGCTGCTGCAGGCTCTGACCAGCTAGCTGCCTCTGCAGCGCTCAGCGAGCAGCAGCAGCAGCAGCAGCAAGACTCGCAGGACTCACTGCCCGACGAGACGACCAACTCTAGCATGGGCAGCAGCAGCAGCAGCAGCAACAGCAGCAGCAGCAGCAGCAGCAGCAGCAGCAGCAGCAGCGACTTGGTGGCTGTTGAGCTGGCAGCACAAAGCTACCGCCACAAATGCGGGCTGCTGCTGCCGCAGCAGCTATTTGTGGGCCCCACAGAGACAGGGGCGGTGGTTATAGGACGTTTGCTGCTGCCGCCACAGCAGCAGCAGCAGCAGCAAGAACCGCAGCAGCAGCAGCAGCAAGAACCGCAGCAGCAGCAGCAGCAAGAACCGCAGCAGCAGCAGCACCAAGAACCGCAGCAGCAGCAGCACCAAGAACCGCAGCAGCAGCAGCACCAAGAACCGCAGCAGCAGCACCAAGAACCGCAGCAGCAGCAGCGAGAACCGCAGCAGCAGCAGCAAGAATCGCAGCAGCAGCAGCAGCAGCAGCAAGAGCCGCAGCAGCAGCAGCAGCAAGAGCCGCAGCAGCAGCAGCACGTAGAGCGCAGCGGAGTGCGACTAGTCATTGGGGAGGAGCTCTGGAGTTTGCTGCTGCCACTTTTCCGCAAATACGGCTACCAGCAGCAGCAGCAGCAGCAGCAGCAGCAGCAGCAGCAGCAGCAGAAGCAAACAAATAGGTTCCCGCCGCTGCTCGTCATTCGCCCGCAGCTGCTGCTTCTGCAGCATCAGCAGCAGCTGCTGCTGCACGACGGAATCTTTGGCATAGTGTGAGTCTTAGCAGCAGCAGCAGCAGCAGCAGCAAACTTTGCTTCTGTTGCTGCTGCTGCCAGGGTTGCTTCAGCAGTTGCTGCTGCTGCAGCAGCAGAACACAACGGCGAAAGCCCTTAAAAATTTGCACGAAGAGTTCAAAGCAGCAGCAGCAGCAGCTGCTGCTGCTGAACTGCTGCTGCTGTAAAATCCATTGTGTCTGCTGCTGCTGCAGCTGGGGCTGCAGCAAATCTCTTCGCGTGGAAACCTGGTTGCTGCAGCGTTGCTGCTGCAGCAGTCTAAAATCTTTGCCTGGGCAGCAGCAGCAGCAGCCGTTGCTGCTGCTGCTGCTGCTGCTGCCACATTGAAATGCACGCAGCTCTCTGTGCTGCGGATCTGCAGCAAACTAAAGGCAGTTTATACCTGAACTATAGGAGCAGCAGCAGCGCTTGCTGCTGCTGCTGCTGCAGAGGCGCTGCTGCTGCTGCAGCAGCGCCCCTCGCGCAGCGCCTTTGGCAGCAGCAGCCCTGCTGCTGCTGCTGCTGCAGCAGCCCTGCTGCTGCTGCTGCTGCTGCAGCTGCTGCTGCAGCAGGACTAGAAGCAGAAAATGTCTTTGCTGTCGAAGCCCAGCTGCAGCAAATTGGGAATGCAGGCCTTCTCCAGCATGGGCCTGGGCCCGCAGCAAAGCACTATTGTGTCTGCTGCTGCTGCTGGCAGCTTTTGCTGCAGCATTTCTTTTGTAATAAACCCCACAGAGTACTTCCATGCTGCTGGCGGTGTATCTACAGTGTACCACACAGACAGCCGGTCCGGGTACTGGTTCTCCATCTCCTCCAGCTCTGCAGCAGCAGCAGCAGCAGCAGCAGCAGCAGCAGCAGCAGCAGCAGCAGCGGCGGCGTGAGAAGCACGGAAGCACGCACTCGCGGTGCCGCACCACGCCCAACCAACGCAGCCCTCTCCAGCAGCAGCAGCAGCAGCGCAGCAGCAGCAGCAGCAGCAGCGCAGCAGCAGCAGCAGCGCAACAGCAGCAGCAACACAGCAGCAGCAGCACCACCACCACCGCAGCAGCAGCAGCAGCAGCACCACCACCGCAGCAGCAGCAGCAGCACCACCGCAGCAGCAGCAGCACCACCGCAGCAGCAGCACCACCACAACCGCAGCAGCAGCAGCAGCAGCACCGCAGCAGCAGCAGCAGCAGCAGCAGGAGGAGGCGGACCGTCTCTGAGGAGGATGTCATCTTGTGTTTTGTTGGCGTAGAGGAGAAAGAGTTGGGTGGGGTCGTTGTTATTCTGCAGCACTTGCTGCAGCACTTGGAAGCAAGGAGTGATGCCGCTGCCGCCGGCCAGCAGCCCCACCTTCCGCTTTTGCTGCTGCTGCCCGTTCACCACGAACTTCCCGCAGCCCAGGTACGTCAGCCGCCTGCAGCAGCAGCAGCAGCAGCAGCACAGCAGCAGCAGCAGCAGCAGCAGCAGCAGCACAGCAGCAGCAGCAGCAGCAGCAGCAGCAGCAGCAGCAGCAGCAGCAGCAGCAGCAGCAC